TGAATAATAAAACCTTCCTTTTTAATGGTAAAGAAATAGAATTCCTCCTTATATACTAATCTTAGAGCATAATAGGCTGTTATTTGAGAGTTTTAATCTAGATTTTTGTAAATTAAAAATAACATAAAATGGAAGTTTTCGATCAATCATATCTCACAATACTTTCTATAATATGAAAATCTATACTGTAAATTGCTTTAGATCCTTTTTTATTGAGCAGGATAATGAACTGAGAATGGAGTTGTCATCAACACCATTGGCCATATGACTAGAGATAATAGATTCTTAATAATAGAGACTCATAAAAATACTGACTAGGGCATCTGAGTTTGTCACAATTAAAAATATTCATGATGAAATAGAGTTACAAAATCTTAGAGTGGTGCAATAAAAATGGCTAATTGGAAAATATTATTTGAAATAATTTAAACATATAACAATTTACATTATAACCACTGTGCAAGAATAACAGAGAAATTAACTCATTGATCGTCATCCTGTGTACTATAGTATTATCTAGAGAGTAGTCTCACGTGGACGAGTGCTCAAAATCATTTGCACCAATTTTATAAAGCAGCTTTAAAATAATTGATTCTCAAATCAAGATATTAAATGCCAACTTTTAACTGGCAATAATGCTTATGGCTAAGATAGAAATGAGATTCTTTACAGAAACGCTGACACAGTCCTAACTGGAGGCACTTGACTGTGCAGCTGTAATTATTTTTCAAATATTACCCAGCAAAGCTTCAGGTAAAGAAGTCTGTAAAATATATAAACAGTACGGCAGTCCTAGAGCTTTTACAAAATCACAACCTGTGACACATTTATTCTCATCTTGGACTTCTACTACTAAATGACTAAATTATTAAAAGGACATTGGTGAGCTCTTCAACAGATAAAAGGTGGGCAACATATTATAAAAGTCAATATTTCTTAATTCATTCAATTTGTAAGAGCTACACATTTTAAGCTGACAACATAAAACTCTAAAAGGTTTTTCGAAAATGCCTTCTGCCTTTAGCATTTTGACAACTAATCAGAAACTATAAAAAATGCACAACACAGATTAAGAAAGTTTTTTCTTTCCATTTGGAAATTTAGTTAAGCTATAAAGTAAGTTCCCATGAAGAGTCAGTTTCCTATGTAGAGATACTTAAAACTGAACCAGGTAGCACAAGAGTAAGCCAAAGGAACACAATTTACACTGGGTGGTGAGTGGCTGGAATAGAAGACTTAATTGTCTAATCCAAATTCTCATTTTTTAAAGTGTCTAGGATAATAATGCTTTTAAGAAGGAGTTAATTTTGAAGTGTAGCCAACTCTAAATTGTAACCATGATATGATGTTTTTTCTCCTCTGAATTGTCATCTTGCCAACAGATGACTACTGATCCTACACTGGGAAATACTGATTTGATGTTTATTGATCAAAAGTGTATGAGAGAAAAACAACTGTATGCGGAAAATTGTGATTTTTGAATGAAAGACAGTCAGCGGTTATCACTTCTTATACAGAACTGGAAACAGATAGGTTAAAAATATCACACTAAACAAATATGAAAATTATTCATTTGTTAGGTAACAAAAACGTGCTAAGTTTATGTGGGATGAGACTATATAATGAGAATGAAATTATTCTTTTAACACCTTGCATCGTATTCTGATTTGATAGGATTCTAAAAATTTACTAAACTTACAGCACTTTTAATTTATATATTACTTTATAAATTCATCATTATATCACAGAAAAACAAGTGAAAATATATAAAAACTTATTTTAATAATCATAGTTAAATTTTATCATAAAGTCATGCTAATATCCATTTAAATTCAAATTTAATCTTTTTACAATCTGCATTTTACTTAAAGGCAAAAATCGTACTTACTATGAGTTATAAATTATTATGCAAATCTGTAAGAAGTTGTCATTGGCAAGTCATCACCTCGGATCACATCATGAAATAATACTCAATTTATTATAATATTAATTTCAAATGCTAATTTTTCTTCATTAGATGGCAGAAAAGAAATAATGTGCTGTTAATACTTTTATAAAGAATATGTTGCTGAATAAAAATTTCAAAGAAAATAATACATTCAGGATTGATATTTAGATTTCGCAAATGCCTAGCAATACTATTAACTAGGTATAGCAACTTGTCTATTAAACAAAACATTGGACACAGACCAGGAAAACTGGGCACACAGGTAACATACACATATATGTCATGAACTATCTAAAATATTTATCAAATCAGTTTATTGTTTTCTTAAAATTTTTCAATATCACAAAATAAGTAAAAACACTAGTTATTGCACCAATATTCTATGGGGTTAGTGACTTATTTGGGCCAAATCCTAAATAAGGCTGCTTTCAGATAAAATGCAATTTTCTTAAAACTAAATTCAATATCCCAAACGAATCACATTTCATTAAAAACATTTAAAATTATTTAAATTATTTAAATATTTAAATATTTAACTTTTAAAAAAAAGTGTATTCTTCAGTCAGGCAGTGCAGACTGAAAAGTAAAATCCAATTCCAACCACAGCCCACTGCCGCCCCAACTCCCTCCCTGCAAGGGGCAGATCTACTAGGTACATGTGGTTCCTAGGAAATTAAAAAAAACACAAAAAACCTAGTTTTAAAATCTAGAACACATTTGATCAATTTGCAGTTAGGATTTAGCAAAAAAAAAAATTCAATATGAGCTGAAAAAGGTAGAATAAAATGACAAGCCATACAGGCCACAGCATAATCTGTCCTTTTTGAAACTAGCTGTGGTAAGGCACGCAGAGGGATGGGGGGGTGTTTTAATTTAGATCTACCCTGCCTAGCCACTCATTTTCCTTTCAGATCTTAACCCCCTTGTGTTAGAAGGCTGGAAACAGCTCTAATAACGTGGAGAATGTAAACAGCCTTTTATTGTCCAAAAGGATGGCAGCATAAGGAATGTGTGCTTATCACACAGCTGCAGCTCCCCGCCTCACTTACCACAATAAACTGCTCCAGGAAAAAAACATTACAACCCAAGCACAATCCAAAAAAGGACTAGAATTTGACATAAGCTTCCTTAAAAAGTAATCAATCAACCCATGCTATAATATTAGAATCCAGCTCTTAAGGAGGGTAGGTAATACCTTCAAGATGTATTTCCTATTCCCTATTGACTATGGTGGTGTGAAAAAAAATGAACATTTATATATAACATATGGCAGAACTTTCCCCCAATATATGCTGAAATACATCTTCTCATCTTTGAGTCTAATACAGTGGAACAGATACATAGTTCATGATCATCAAATGCCAAAATAAATTAATGAACTAAGAGATTTATGGAGATATTCTGAAGATCCTACCTAAGTACCTGATTTCCTTAGGCTTTCAGAGTTTTATTCACACACACTATACAAATACTGCTGTGTTATATCATCTTTTATTGGAATCAAGATTAAACTTTTTAAAAAGCAAGTGATACTAAAGACTAGTGTGGCATATATTTTGCTTGCACAATGCCTCAATTAAATGTAAGATTTATTTCAATATTTTAACCAGTATGTACTGGTTCATTCAAGGACACTTGAGAGCATTACTGCGTTTTTTTCCCTGATGCCAAATAAGAATTTCTTAGTTAATGCTAAGCAGGTTCATGCGGCTAATCGTTGTAACAAGAGTGGACCAGCCCTTCCTTGTAGTAACCTCTCCCCTTCCCTAAGACCGTTTAGAGTTCTTTCTATTTTCAAAACTTGCAAAGTATCTCTGCCTCTATAATATCATTTATATTATAAAGAAACTTCCATAACTTACTTGATCTTTCTCTGTAAAGGAAAATGATAGGAAAAAAATAGATAGAAAAGGGAGGGAGGAAAGAAGGAAGGGGAAAGGATAAGGAAGGAAGAAAAAAGGGAAAGATCATCATTCTCTAAGTGCTCCAGATCCTTAATCTTGCTTTAACAGCCCAGAGCTAACTGGGTAGTCTTCCCTATCACAGCCAAAGAAACCATGGCATCTGAAGAAAGCTCTTCACAGCACCCTATCAAGATTTGTGCCAACAAAGCAGGAGAAATCCATCACAGATGCAGACTGAGCCAAAGTAGTCCCCTTCTATATTTTTACTTTAAAAGTTGTCTTCTTGAAAATCTTATTTGGGAATGTCCCTTACGTACAATTAACTAGCCATACATGCAGCATACAGGTGTATTTCGGAGGGGGGAGAGCAGGGCGCGAGGAGCAATGAGTTGCACACAGTGCCAACAGTCGCCCGGAGCCACGTCGGCGAGCCCTGAAACACCTTTGGCACCCTGCCTATTCCTCAGCGGCCCCTGAGCCGCAGGACCGAGCGGAAGAAGTCTTGGGGATCACGCATGCTGCTTACAGATGCCCGAGAGCCTGCGTACAGACCGGTGTGAAAGTTACACCCTGCGTCGCCTGCAGAAAACCCCATCCCAGTCCCCAGCGCCAGAGGAAGGAAAGAGAAATCAAGTCGCCCCCCTAGATCGGCATTTTACCCAAGTCCCCCCCCAGCAAGCCTCACTCACTGGCCCTGTGAACGAGGATGCACTACGTAAGGTTTTGGAAGAAGTGTCTTCGGTCGTACGGGCAAAACACGTGAAAAATAGAAACCGCCAAGCCCTCAAACTGTGGGCTGGAGTCAGGTCTTTCAGTCCATCCTCACCATAATCCTCTACTCTCATCCCCCTTGGGCCTCTAGTCAATAAACCTCTTCTTCCTCTCACAGGTCCTCGGCCACTTTGTGACTACTTTACTCCAGACTTCAAGTCCCAACCCCTGCTAAGCTCCCCATTGCCCCAAGGTCTCCTCCACTGTAACCCTTGACTCTTCCCCTCCAACCCCCGAGGCAACCCCCAACTCTCTCCAAGGCTCTCTTCTCTAATTCCACGTCCCAAGCAGCGCAAGGCTCCGCGTCCGAACCCGCGCGGTTTTCCCGCCGAAACGCGTCCCCAGTGCGTGGGGCGCATGGCTGGACCAGCACTCACCAGCTGCAATAAGCCTGGGACCACGACGAGGGGCAGCGGCCGTAGGTGCATGGTGCCGGCTGGCACGGCGTCTCAGGAGCTGCGCGCCCTCGCCTGCCTCTCGTACATCTCCACTTCGCGGGGGCAGGACTGAGGACGCCGGGGACACACGGCGCGGTGCTTGCCTCCCGGAATCCAAGCGCAGCGCTGCGCAGCGCTGGCCGGGTGGGCGGGCGGGAAGGGGGAGGGCGGGCACTGACTATCCGGCCCCCGCGTGCCCCTCCTTAGACCAGGTAGGAAAGAAGCAGGAGGGGCCGCTGGAGCTCCAGTACAAGGTGCTGGGCTCTAGCAGCGCCCAGGACTCCGGCGTCCAGGGGTCTGGGTGAGCGCTTGGGGCGTCTTCGGGCTGGAAGTGCACTGTCGAGCGCTATGGTGCTGGTTTCCTGCGTGAGATTATTTAGTGATTCGGCCTCTCCATGCGGCTGCAGTTCGGAGCTGAGTGTGTCCTGAGCCCCGAGAGTCCAGGTGCCTCCTCCGCCCACGCCCAGCAGAGGGCTGGTCTGGATAGCCCCGCTGGGTCAGGCGCCCTGCTTGCTAACCGGCTCTCGTTTTGCTGGGGAGGTGAGAGAGGGGAGGTCCCCTTGCGTGGTTGCGTGAAAGAGTGCACCCTGGAAACATCCAGGGAGTTTTGGGGTTGGGGGGAGGCAACGTCTGGATCCTGGGCAGGGCGGGGTGTGAAGGCTGCGAACTGAAAAGGCTAGGGCGGCAAGGCAGGGCAGAGGTCTGGGACGTCCCTGAAGAGCGCCCTGCTCCTGGGCAGTCGTGGTTCGAAGAGCTCCGAGTAAGGGGTGCAAAGTGTTGTTGGCTCGGCTGGAGGGATCTCTGGAAGTGGAAATAGTGGAAATTAAGAGGAACCTTGAGGAGGGGTAGCAGCAGCGCTATGAGAAATCCAGCTAGGTGCAGCGTCCTGGCTTACTCTGCTTTGAAGATTGTGCAGAGAGCTGTTCGTCCCGGAGACCCACGGAGATGCGCTGCAGAGACCTTGTGCCCAGCGAGGGAGAAGAGTAAAGAGAGGAGACCCTGCTGCAACCTCCCTCTTCGAAAATCTTGGAGAGGGGTATTGCGAGGCTACAAACCTACTGCAGGTGATTCTCAGCCCTGTGTTAACAACTCTCCTTTGAAGAGGTCCTTAACCTCTAACTATCTCTGTGCTGGACACTCGAATAGAAAAGTCAGAGGACAATGGGGCTCGCAGACTCCCATACGTCTGCGGTGGATGAGAATTTAAACATCAGCCATCAACTCCTTCATTGAAAAGATGGGAAATCTAAGGTCCAGAGAGGTAAAGTTACTTCTCCTGGGGTGAGTCTCTGCTTCAACAGAATAAGAAAGGCAAAGCTATTTTACTTCATCCTGAATTACAAAGCTTGTACAGAAGGAAAATATTTTGAGTCAAGGAAATGGAATTGAGATTGGTTTCCAGCCCTTAAAAAATAAATAAAACACTCTGTCACCCACCGTCCACGGAGGGAGTGCTGTCCGGCGAGGCAAAAGGTTGCTAGTTCCATTCTGGTGGGGATGCACACGCCTGAATTGTGAGCCTGGTCCTCAGTTGGGGCGGGAGAGGCAACCTATGGATGTCACTCTGACACATGGGTGTTTCTTTCCCTTTCTTTTCCCCTCTCTTCCCCTCTCTCTAAAGATAAATAAATAAATATTGCTGGTGTGGCTCAGGGAATTGAGTGCTGGCCTGCCAACTGAAAGGCCACTTGTTCTATTCCCAGTGAGGGCACATTACTGAGTTGCAGGCCAGGTCCCCAGTTGGGGGCAGGCAAGAGGCAACCAATTGATTTATCTCTTGCACATTGATGTTTCTCTTCCTCTCTTTCTCCCTCCCTTCCCCTCTCTTAAAACTAAAATAAATAAAGTCTTTTTAAAAAACAACAAAAAGTAAAGTTTGGGTTGGAATTTTCAGGAACCTCCACTTACTATCTCCCACCCCAACACAGAAATGAGAAGGGACTTTGTAAATGGTCAAGGATCACATTTGAAGCAGAGCAGCCTCATTTCCTTGGTCCCAAAGATAGGAGCATTGACTTGGGTAGTACAACAGCCCACACTTCTTTTCACTGACTGGCTGTGCCAAGATTGTGGATTTGGGGAGGGAAGTTATTCCCCAGTGTTCTGGGACCTCAGTCAGACTTTTAGAGGTTTTGTTTTTGAGGCAGCAGGTGGAATAATTTCCTAGTATAACGCCATTCTCTGTATGGGGGGAGAGCAGCAATCCAGGGATATGTATCCTAATAATCCCTTGCCGCACCTGAGTGGGGGTTTCTGGAGCCCTATTGCCAGGGATGCACTAGTTTTATTCCTCCTCTTATCACCAGACTCTTCTTATTTTTTGCAATAGGCCCCCAAAAAAACAAACAAAATCACTATTTGCATATCTAAATCTATAACACCTCCTATAGCTACTGCCCACCTCCACAAAAATTCTGTCTTTACCGATGCTTAGATCCCACTTCTGGGAAGTTACTCTAGCCTAGAAGATTAAGGAAGATAATTTCAAAAATTGGAAGAGATCTTTATGGGTTGATCTTTCCAACTTTAGATCCTTGGATAGGGCTGCATTTTATTTACAAACAGTCCTGGGAAACAGAAGGACATAATGGGAAAGGGCTCGGCAGACCGAAAGAATCCCTGTTTCAGAGAGGAAGGAGGGCAACAACTTTGCAAGGTGCCTGCTTTACTTGGACCCCTGGTCCTCTCTGCCTGAGCCTCAGGTGACCCGTCTATGAAACCAGAAGGTGTGCTTCTTTCCTGATTTAGTAGTTTCCAATTGTATTATCACGAAGTCTCCAAATGAGACATGCCTGACTTTATATGCTATTGAAATAAATAAGTGATATAATGACTGGAATACTTCACTCTTTGTTTTAAAATTGTATTTCTTAGAATATGTCTGTGCTTTGGGGAAACTTACACATAAAATTTTAAAGTGGAACCTAAATTTAGTATTACTGGGATACATATCCAAGTATGCTCACAAAGAAATGTACTCAAGGGTTTTGAATTCCAAGCTAAGGGACATGGGAGAACTTGCATGTCCCATTGATCAGCCTGTGTAAGAGAGAAGCGCCAAGAACATCATTGACTAAAGTCTGGTATTGTATTTATAAGGGGACTACTGATAATTTATTGTATTTCCTAAGTTTTGGTGTACATACTATGGGAAAGTGGAAAAAAAGGGAGGAAGGAAAGGGGGAAGATAGGCAGAAGCATAGAGAGGCATTTAATACTTTGAATACATTAACTCTGTCCTTCAGAACATGCAGTCTAACCAGGAAACATTCAACAAACATGTGGGGAAAAAAGGAGAAAGCCACCCTGTGTGGGAAGAACAATGTAAGCAAAGATATAGTAGAGGGACTTCATATGATATAATTGAGGGGTGGACAATAAGTGGACCAGACAGACTGGAGGAAATGTGATGAGGAAAAAGTGAGAGGGAAGCTAAGTTATAGGCTAGACAGTAGAGTTCTGGAAATGCCACGGTAAACAGTTTAGCTTGATCTGCAGGAAATAAGGAGGCTTAAAATTTTTCCGAGTAGCCAAGTCACGCAATTCGAGGCATGAAGACACGTGCAGTGGTAACGTTTCGGATGGTCTTCAGGAGGAGGTTGCATAAGGAAACAGTCCTCGTAGTTGGAAAGAAAAGAACGGGGGGAGAGACAAGGGGGCAAGAGCTATTATAAAGGAACAGTGAATTGAACTTGGGGTTGGACTATTTTAAATTATTCTCAAAATATTAGATTTTTTAAAAACATCATCGCTTTCTCTCCTTGAGGCAATTAACAACTAGAAAATCAGATCTTTGCCTTTCAATTTTGCAAAGGTGAGGTGAGTGAGAATGGTCATTTCACGTAACAAGGAGCAGAAAAGGTAATCTACCAAGTTTACTACCATATAATTCCATTGTGGTCTTGTAAGAAGACAACTTATAGGGATATTGTTAATTTTTCTGAGGGCAAATTTGTCAGCTTTTGTCAATGGTTTATCTGGACTGCCAGCTTTTTTGGTGTCTTTTCTGTATTTATTTCCTCACCCTAACTGTTCATTATGTTATTACCAGAATGTGGATAAGAATATAACATTTCAGAGTTGCACTGGATATTAGACATTAACTAATTTCTCACTTTGCACTTAAGGACATGGAAGCTCAAAAGGTTAGTGACTTGCTTCAGGCCAACTGGAAAAGCACGGGCTAACCTGAAACTTGATTCAAGGCCTTCCATTTCTCAGTGCAGTGCTCTTTCCAATTCATCACTCTGCCTCTGGTATTTTTCCACTGGCCAGCAGTTATAAAAGTCTTGATGTAGTGAATGAATGAACCTTTTGCTAATAAGAGTTGTGGGAATAATCTATGGATGCCAAAAGAGGTTTGATGGTACTGAGCCTAAAGCATTTATCTGGTCATAACGTTAGAAGGGTGAGAGATAAGGAAAAGTACCTGGCACAGGGCTGCTGTGCAGCCTCAGAGAAGTGTGATCTGGGATTCAAGGACATGGAAGTTCTTACCCCAAGGATGGGGGAATTCTCAGGAGGCCTTGGGACCTCTCATTCCTGTATAATGAAAAGCTGGTGGGCTTTTTAATATCAATTCTTAACTACTAAAAATCTTCTTAAGTTGCCACACTGTTGAGGAATTGAATATTCTTGAGTAACTATTCAATAAAACATGATGCTGTATAACATTGTTCATGACCATGATTGCATATGGAACCACTGGGGACTTTAACTTCACTAACCGTGGACTTGAGCATTGGCATATTTCACCCCGAAGATTTCATTCTACAGCTATTGTTGAGAACAGCTGTTCTCCCAGAAATTTAATGTTTTCTTTGTCTCTTCTCTCCTTTTTTCTCTTCCTCCTTCCTCCCTCCCTTCTTTCATTCCCCCCCACGGAACTGTAGCCCCCACATTTTTAATGCATTGAGGCTTTAACAGACTATCATTAGAACCTATTTACCTTCTTAACTGTATAGGAGTTAACTCTAAATGTCCAAGAGAGA